ACAGACACACAGACAGGCAGGCAGGCAGGCAGGCAGGCAGGCAGGCAGGCAGGCAGGCAGGCAGGCAGGCAGGCAGGCAGGCAGGCAGGCAGGCAAACAGACACATAGACAGACACGTACTCACACACACACACACATAAACCCCACACATACTTACACATGGACGTGCGTGCACACGTACATACCTACCTACCTACCTACCTGCCTGCCTGCCTGCCTGCCTGCCTGCCTACCTACTTGCATACCTACTTACAAAATTACCTGCCTACCAGACTACCTACCTACCTACCCACCTACCTACCTACCTACCTACCTAGCTACCTAGCTACCTACATACCTACCTCCGCACCTACCTCTTACTTACCTACATACCTACCTACTTGGCTACATACCTACATGCCGACATACATACGTACGTACAGGCACATTTCCTTAATTGCGTTACATTACAGTGTTTTCATTACATTACACTACACTGCAGTACATTTTGTTACGTGACACTATGTCATTATGCTAACCTACATACGTACGCGCATACATACATTTACATAGATACATGCATGGATGCATGCATGCATCAAAAACATCCATCCGTACATCCATCTATCCATGCATGCATGCATGCTTGCATATTTCAACACATTCACCTACAAACGTACAGGCACTGACCTACAAGCCCCTGCATGCCTCGGGCTGCCGCTAAAGCTTGGGCCGTGGCCACCGCCTCCCGCCTCAGGTCTGTTAGGATTTGGGCCGAAGGGCACTCGTGTATTCTGCATTTCGTCGGGGGTTCAGGGCTTCATACCTTTGCGATTTTACAGTATTGTCCGAGCAGCTCTTAATCTCGTGGACGGTCCGTCGCACGACCGTCGGGTACGGGCAAGGGTCAGGGCTGATCGGGACCATGAAAGCTACGACAACGAGGGTGTGGATCATGAGTTCCGCCTGGAAGATGCAAAGGATGACGATACCGATGCTGATGATGTTGGTGATGAGGGTGGCCATGGCGACAACAGTACGGCTAAACATGACCAAAGCGACGCGCGACGACGACTACGACCGTTTGTTGAGCAAGGAAGATAGGGATGAAGGAGGAGAAGCAGCCGACGGCACTAACAGTTGACAGGGTAGGAATGCTGTGCGAGGTGAAGCATCAGGCAGAACTGTACCCGAGGAAAGCGCTGGGCGGCTTGGACGATCTCTATACTATGAACAAGTTCTGGATCCGTATGCACTCATTTCAGGATGCATGTATGCATGAATGTATGTAAACCTATCTATCCATGTATGTACTGATACAATACGAAAAAGAAATATCGACAAACACAAATATAAACATAAGTTGTATAAACCTGTATGAACATAAGCAAAGAATATAAACATACCTACGTATATATATATATATGTGTACATATGCATACCTGTATGTATGTAGGTGTGTATGTATGTATGTATGTATGTATGTATGTATGTATGTATGTATGTATGTATGTCTGTATGTATGTCTTTCTTTATCTTCTTGTTTTTACTAGTCATTTGTTCATTTCAAGGCTCCAAATCCTCAACGGCCACATCAGGAATCTTTGTCGAGCAAGGGGTGCAGATTGGCGTCGGCAAACTATAGTTCAACGTCAGCACAATAATTCAATGTCACCACAATTGACAAGGGTATGAAGAAGAGAGGTGCTCTAGAATTACCCATAGGCCCTAAAGTAGTTCCTTTTGGGGGTTCATATATAGAACCCTATGAGGTAACCCCAAAAAGGAACTACTATGGGGCCTATGGGTAATCATTATGCAAGCTTTGGTTGAGTTCGAAGAAGAGGCCGCTAGATGCTGCAGCCTCCGACACCTAGGCCAGATATACACGAGATGCAAAAGAGAAATGTAGGGGAGCTAATCATATAAACAAGTACAATAAGAAAACGCAAGGTTTATTTAACATAACATCTGGTCTTGGGGTATATTACAGCAGAGTTATAACGAGGAACTTTACGCTCTCACCACTCGAACTCGGAAGGAACTTTAGGGAACAGTATCGCTAATTGCTCAAGCCAAGATGCTCAGTCGGCTCGTTCGGGGCATCGAAGAAAAGGAAGATCAGACTGAAGCCCTGGGCCATGTGGTAAAGCCTTGGAGCGGCGGAGCTCTTGGGATTCAGCACTCACAACTAGACAAGCAGGCCAGGATCCGAAGGGTTTAGGGATTAGGGGTTTAGGGCTTAGGGTTTTAGGGTTTAGGGTTTAGGGTCAGAGTTCAAAGCTCACGGCGAGTTTACATGGGATCCACTATGACAATACTTCAACAGTTGACAGTGGCATAAGAAGGCATGTCGTTTGACAGGCACGACGAACTCCACATACTGTATTTACGTCGTGCAGTATTTTGTGCAACTCAACTTGTTCTCCGCAACCTTTGGGGCTTTTTTCTTCTGCAGGGGCTTACTGTGGTTTTCGGGCCGACGACAAGAGCTTCTTCTGAGTCCTGGTTAATGCGACCTGAGTGCTTGGTAAAGTCCTAGTGTCGACATGATCTCGGAAGGCCCAGGCTTCGTGAACCGGCCGTTGGAAGCAGGATGTTTTGAATAGGGTTTTCGCAGGTGCTGGCCTGGCCAGTGAGAAGGCCTAGGGCTTGGCATGGTTTGGGCTTGTAGGACTTCTCTACTCTTTTATACTCCTTACAGATATCGAATAGAATAAAGCTGTATTGTGTCCTATTCTATTCTACACTGTTCTATTCTACTCCACTCTAATATATTTATATATATATATACATATATGTTTATAAGTATGTATGTATCTATTTGCAATATAATACAACTATATATATATATATATATATGTATATCGAATTACAAGTGGTCCTTTCGTTTTTATTCTAATCTTTATTCTACTGAATGACAGTATACCATATTCCATTCCACTCTGTTGCATTCTATTGCATTACACAAGGGGTTTAGGGTTTAGGGTTTTACATATGGAGTTCGGGATCTCATTCCTCCGAAAGGCAGGAAGCTCTCGACTGCTGTGGCCGGTGAGCCGCGCAGAAGCCTCGGAGACCGAACGTGAAGGATACTAGAGGGTTCCTCTAGGGGCCCTATAATGCTTACGATGAGGGTTTAGGGTTTAGAATATAGGGTTTAGGGGGGTACTCTAGGGGCCCTATATACCTACCATGAGGGCATTTTCAAGGTACTGAGTTACCATGGTAGTTACTATGAGGGTTGAATGGTGTCAAAAGCTTCTCGAGGTTCAGAAGGTAGGTTCATACCTGCACACAGTGATTACGAAGAATCAAGATTTGGCCTTCACCCAGCAGGAATTTTAATGCGCTCTACGGCAGCAAAAACTGACATCGACGCGAACTCTGGTCAAGTAGCACTGCAAGCGCCAATCGCGGGACTGCAGATCCACGCCGCAGCAGCGGTCGTGGGACCTTCACCGGGATGAGAACAACTGCAAGGTTGAGCTGAGACGAGGAGACTACGACGATACTGCTCCTGACGGGAAGATAGCCCAAGATAGCTTCGTCGGACTGGCTTGCACAAGCTTTTCAGCTCTCTATGCCAGCAAACCGGAAAACACCGTCCTGGCAATACCCAAACCCTGTCCGGCAAAGCTCGAGCTTTGGATCCTGGCTTCCATGAAACCCAACATCCCAATTGCTGTCCCAGGTCGGTGGTTGTCAAAATTAGGGTCCCTTTTTGGGTCCTTATTATAATACGGCACCTATAATTTTGGGTACCCCAAAAGGGACCATAATTTTGACAACTACCCAGGTGATTGGGAGACTCGGCCCAGAACCCTAAACCGGTAGGGATTCGAGCGGCTCGGCTCGGAGAAGGAACGAACAACACTCCTGAAACCGAGCATCCTCGTAAAGCTCAGGACATCCACACCTTCGGCTGAACTCTCTCGTAGACAGACACATCCTCTCTCTATACGACTTACTTTATGATGCTACAAACTGTTCTGTGACAGGCATATATACTTATGCATATGCATACGTATATGCATATGGATAAATGTATACATATATATATATATATACACACCTATATATGGCACCCCCCCCCTCGGAATCCACACCTTTACCCTGCGTATCTAGTATGCCGGTGTAGCCCTGGTCTGCACACTTCTCGCCATCTGTCTGAATGTACATGCATGTACGAATGTACGTGGTGACTTTCGTTGTATCTGCGCATGATGCAGAAGCCGGACAGAGCATGTGCAATCAATTAAACAAGAAGCCTCACCCTATTCCTAGCGACAGTCCCCAAACATATACATACCAAAGCCTATAAGCCAAGAAAAGAGCATACACTCCTTGTGACAATCCAAAAAACAAAAATACCAAAGACCTCGTAACCTCCCGAAATCTGAAATGAGCATATTCCTCGAGACAGCCCCAAGACATACAAAAATACCAAAACACACGGGCCAAACTGCCAAACCATAAGCATGTTCCTCGAGACAGCCCCAAAAACAGTGAACATACCAACGCTTTCGGGACCTCTCCGAGATCTGACATGAGCATATTATTCGAGACAGTCCCAAAAGAAAAGCCCCAAAAGTACCAAAGCCCATAGGCCACAACATGAGCATATTCCTCGAGACAGTCCCAAGAAAAAACTCAAAACGCAAGGATTTCAAGCTAGTGGGGCTGTCTCGAGGAATGGCCTTTGGGATTGCTCTGGATCTTTGGTATCTTTGGGTTTTGGTATTCTGGATTTGTTGATGGACTGTCTCGAGGAATGTGCTCATTTCGCGACCTACGGGCTTTGGTATTTTTAGTGTTTTTGGAACTGTCTCGAGAGATATGATAATTGTGACAGGGCCAGACACTTTCTCCGAAGGAATGAACATGCACAGAAACATAACAAAACATGCTTACGGAAATCGAAACACTTGCATATTATCCGAATGTGTCTGGGTCACGAAAGGTATACATCCCTGGCTGTACCTAGAAAGACTCTACACATATTTGTGCAATATTTTAGTATGATTATGTATGTCTAATTCCCATTCTATAGAAAAGAGCAGCTTTCAATGAGCCTTCAAATTTTACTCGTCTACCACGTGGTTTTTAGCATTTCAGTACAATCACCTTAAGATCTACCCAACACTAAACGGGTGCTCATAATGTTCGATCGCGAGAAAAAACGCTGATGTGCGAGCGCAACAGCGCTGATGGTTAACCTAAACAGTTAACTCAAGTTGAGCATTTTTGCTTGAATACTTGGCAAATTTCTTGTTCATCTCATGAATGTTGACCTAGAATGAAAATGATGTCCAACAGGGAATACCAAGATTATGTATAATATGGCCTTGAGTTAGTGACTAATGCATCTTTGGCTCGCAGGTTCGCATTGCGTCTTATCTGCACATACATGACTTGAACCACACTTTTAGCTACAAATGAACAAACAGTTAGTTGCTGATGAATTATCTATTGCCAATGCAACGACTAGCTATTTCAGTTATTAGTCAAGTCTTGAATATTGGTGAATAGCTTCTAGTTTGTTTATGGAGCAACTTTGAATATGAGGCAAGCACTATGACACATTCAGCACATGCTGATCCCATATTGACTCCATATTCACGGTGGTACTGTTTGGATGTTAAATAACAGGCAAAGGCAACGCATACTTGCAAGCTTCACATGCGTTCTCGGTGAGCAGTACTCATTGCGTTTTAATTCTAATAAACACAGCTAGTAACACATGCATCGCAATTGCTACTCGAACATACGATGCCTGTAGCAGGTAGTATACTCGTAACTTCTGCGTAGATGCCTTCTACGCCCCGAGGACTCTTTAGGGGTTTTGGTTCAGGGCCGATGCTTTGGGGCCGCACCGTTCAGGCATAAAATTAAGTACTTGGAGAGGAGACGCAAGTAATAATAGGTTGATACACTGTTTTCTTTGAATATCTATTTCTATTTCCAGGATAGTACGAACTCGTCATCGTGTTCGTGGGTGGCTGAGTGCTGTCGAGAAGAACGGTGACGGCAATACTCTGAGATGTTATTCCTGTTGCAGCGCGGCGAAAACGAGAAGGGCAGAAGACAGTATTCCGTTGTCGTATTCGTGGATGCGTGCTGTCGTTATAATATATATATATATATCTACACATACATACACATGTATATGCAAAGGTATAAGTATACGTGTATGTATATATAAAGCAGTTATAAAGCTATACAGTGGCATTTAGGAATTATCTCTGTTAGTCTGAGTTGAACTACGCCCGGCCTCCACCTCCTCGTGCATGTGCCAGGCGCTAAGCCACAGTCGCGGCAGCTTCTCGCGTGGTTGGGGTCGAAGGCCCTCACCCTGCCCAAGGCGTTTATGGATAGTTTTCTAAATTCGGGCCCCGTTTTAGGTCCCCAATATAGTACGGCACCCTTAAGAAAAGGACCCCCGAAAGGAACCCTAATTTAGAGAACTACCCATATCCTGTTTTGCATCAAGACTTGTGCGATCGCCTGCAGGTCTGAGCATACGGAGGTGCACTTCCATACCTTGCTCAAGAAACTCGCATGGCTTTATACCCTAAGCCCTCAGCCCGAAACCTTAAGTCCTAAACGTCATGAACGCTTCAACCGCTTGGGCCGACCCGTCGACGAGAAATTCTTCCACGATTCAGCCCAAGGAAGAGACAACTTTCACGTTCCCCTTGGAGCATTTTCCCCCACCTGCATCTGGAAAGGCACCTGCAATGCAGCCGCCAGGTTTATGGCTGCTGCATACGGCCAAATGTCCTGGCATTGCAACCAGAGAGGCTCTGGGCTTCTGCTGTCTGTATGCATGGTGACTTTCTGGCTTGAAACTAAGACTGCCCCGGGTTGCATTGCTCTTATCCTGGCAAGTTCAGCCCACGTCCCACGACTCAGTTCGAAGTACCCATCCTCATTAGGATCTAACGCTCGGCCCCCCAGATCATCTCCGTGGCCAGCGATCTTCTGCAAATTGGGCTTGAGGCTTCATCTACTCTAAACCCTAAATACTAAACCCTAAACCCTAAATACTAAACCCTAAACCCTAAATACTAAACCCTAAACCCTAAATACTTCACCCTAAACCCTAAACCCTAAACCCTAAACCCTATCTCCCAAAGTCTCCTTTTCGGCTTCCTCCTCGGGGACCTGCTCGATGAGCTTCCCGAGACCTGGATGGGAGACGTAGCCCTAACCCCCCAGGTACCTACCATATAGGGTACTAGAGCCCCTAGGGCCCTATATAGTAGGTACCTGGGGGGTTAGGGTAGGTTTAGGGCTGGGGTTTAGGATTTTTCGTGCACTTCTCGATTGGTGCATGTCATCCTTGCGCAGGGGCCATGCTAATCTGCTAATCTTCTCCGTATCGTTCCAACTTTATCGGAGGATTCCCCTCGGAGTTTAGGAGTTTCGACTCTCATGCTCGCACAAGGGTTTAGGGTTCCATACTGTGGAATTGTAATTTAAGGGCCGGGGTGACTGGTGATCCTTGGTCCATTGCCATGAGACTCTATAGTGCAAAGCTACATGCTAGCGCACTGTTGCATGCTGGCAAGCCTTGGCAACTGCTGCACACCACTTGCAAGAGTCATGCCATACCTGCACACGGGCTGTGCTGCCTTCAGCTTTAGGTTTCCATACCATGCTGCACAGTTTATAATTTTTCAAAAGAACAGCAGAAAGCAGGACAAAAACAGTATTGTAGCTTTCCTCTCGACATGCTTGGCATGAGGTTGCTTCGCTGTGCTGACATATGAGTCTTGGCGCTATTGCGGATGTAGTTTCCGCTGGATTTCAGTCTTGCATGAATCCTCTTGGGTTTCTCGATCTCTGACCGGAGGCTGCCTCCCCGATACATTGGATTGACACATGTCAAAAGCCAATTCTGAATGTTGTCTCATTAGACTCCAACAAAGCCTGCTGCCACTACATTGCGGTCGGGCTTGCCGATTTCTCGCCCATCGCGCAGAACATAGCCGGCATCGATGGCACGAACCCATGCCTGCTTGAGCATCGCGAAGCTGTAAGGCCAGCGGTGAGCATAGGCTTGGAGCCATAATCTTTTCCCGCACCCGTGGTAGGAAATGTAACACTACCACCGTCAGTGTCAGTCACGGTTCCCGATTTTTGATGATGGTGCAGCCGATGGTGATGACAACTAGTTATATGTTGTACCGTTGTGCTCATCCACAAACAGATGATGCTTGTGAAGATGAGCAGAATTCTGGTGTGCTAGTGCTGCCAGTGACTGCTATAGTGATGATGAGGTTGCAGAAAATGCGGATTCGACGGCTGCTGCTGCTGCTGCTGCTGCTGGCTCACGGTCGTCGTCATCGTGGTGGTCGTGATGGGTTTTGATATGCACGTGCTGGAACAGAGGCGTAGTGTCAGAGGTCAACGACGCCGACAAGGAGGTTGCCTGTGGAACCCTCAAGTGCATATCTGCTAAGGCCAGGTCTCATAAGAAACGAGCAGATATCCCGGAGTCTCACAAGAACCGATGTAATTGCCAAGCTTCTTCCTTAAGGGCTTCTAATATTTTATTATTATCCCTTATTCCTCAGAGCTTCTTATTGAAACAACTTTTAAGGGCACAAAACAGAACCTCCTCTGCAATCTTGACCCGCCGGCGCTGCCTCCTCCGGATCGAGCTTCACCCAGCCGGAGGGCAGGTCCTCTGAGACCTGGCACTTAGAGACTTCGGACGCCAGGCTCAGGGGTTTAGGGTTTAGGGTTTAGGGTTTAGGGTTTAGGGTTTAGGGTTTAGGGTTTAGGGTGTTATGTTCGGGTTTTTTTGGGGGTTTGGCGTATAGGGACATGCGAGAAATTACAACTGAGGGAATTCCTGTAGAGCTCCAAGCAGGGATGTAAAGACAACCCCAAATCTGGTTCCACATCCTTCAAGCAAGCCTAGTCTACAAGGCCTGGAGCATGACCGGCGGCTCCACCATACCGGGTTGAGGGTTGGCGTTTAAGGGAACTACAACTGAAACAATGGCACAGAGTCGGCGAGAATCTAACGAATGACTTTGAATAGTCTATGGGGTGAGGAGCGACTTGATGCTTTGCGTTGTCGTCTCCTCCTGCTCGGTTCCCAGAGGTCCAGCCGGAGAACCTCACAACCTAACGGTATAGGTTTTGGCATATAGGGGTAGGGAGCACAACATTTGAGTCGACTCGACATCCTGGTCCGACTTCGACCCGTAACGAAGAGAATCCGACTCCACCCGTCTCCCACGCAACAATTAGGAGCTGTTCTTGAACAGGACACAGAGAAAGGGAGCTGGGCACAGCCAAAGTACAGCGGAGGCAACATGTATATGTTCGATGGAACCTGAAGTGATGGGATTCCCAGTGAGGCATTGATCGGACAAATTTACTGACATCAGTTTGGAAAGTGTACAGTGCAAAACGAAGTGGCGCAGCACGAGAAAGGAAGGCATTGGGCCTTGAAGGAAGCGCTGGGAACGGTCCCATTGTTTTGGAGAAAGAACGGTAACGGAGAGGAGCTCAACGAAACCAGCTTTAGATGTGGCTCTTCAAGAGTCGCCTGCAGGATGTGGTCAGCGTCGCCCTCGTCAGTTTACAGCTGTAGGCTCAATTTAGGGTTTCCCTTCACCAGAAGCCCTTAACCTCAGGGTCTATAGGGCCTTAATGCTCAAAGTTAGAAGTTCCCGGACATGGAGGCTCCTCTTCCCACCAGCCTTGAAGATCTCCGCTACGACTAGAACATGCCTGGGAGAAGTTCAGCACAGGGCGTGGGGGTTGACAGCTTGCAGGGCCTAAGAGCATTCTTAATATAGAGTTCGAAGTTTCGTGAGAGTCGCAACCTCTGAAGCCTGACGCTTTTATTCCGAAAACTGGCTAGCCCCAACTGCTAGGCAGCAGATGGACAGTTCCATCATCTTGCTGTCCAAAGTCAACCCCCCCTGCCTCTTCTGGAAGCTGAAATGTAGGCATCAGGGTCCAAAAACCGCAAGCCCTGATCCCGGATTCGCCCAGTCTTTGTTGGTAGCTGGACTGAATTCTAAATCTCCGTCTCCGCTGCAGCCACCCACTGCATTTTGGGGGTTTGGGCGGAGGCTTGGCTTCGGGTTACAAGCTCTCGGATTTAGAAGTTCATGTTTAGGGTTGGCGATCCAGAGATTTCACGAATCAGAACTGTTCAACATGCGCAAAGAACCTGCAAACCCCGAAACTGCCAATGAACCTGAATCGTTCCCTCATGGCCCCTGTCATTGGGTAGAACATTAGACGAAAGCCATAAAAAGTCTTTGGAACTATATGGCGTGGCATCACCCTGAACCCTAGATCCTAAACAGTAGAATCTCCGTAGACGCTGAAATTGTACTACCCTTAGAGCCTGGATCATCCTGGATCCGAAGACCTACTCGCGGCAACCGGGAAGCCTGTAGATCCTAAGCCCGGTTTAGGGTGTAGGGTTTAGGATTTAGGGTTTAGGATTCAGGGCCCTCAATCCCATAATTCTTTGCGGGGGACACGATCTCGGCCTTGGTTGATGGCGCGGCTCGGATGGCCACACGGGGCTTGTGCACCGTCCGGAAGAGTGAAGTTCCCTCCAGTCTCTGTGGGTTTAAGTATTCTTGTTCAGAGTTCTCAGTACTCACAGGTTAGGGGGCTTAAGGATTTTTCCATCTGGGGTTTAGGGTTTAAGTATTCTTGTTCAGAGTTCTCAGCACTCACAGGTTTAGGGGGTTTAAGGATTTTTTCCCAATGGGGTTTAGGGTTTGGGGTTTAGGTCCAGAGGTCTCAGCACTCACAGGTTAGGGGGTTTAAAGAATTTTCCCCTCTGAACTTTAGGGTTTAGGTTCAGAGGTCTCAGCACTCACAGGTCAGGAGGTTTAAGGATTAAGGATTGGGGTTCAGGGCTTGGGACAAAGGATAAAGGCCCGCTCCGAGACCTGGATCCTTTGGGGCTGAAGGTTGGGGCTTAGGGTTTAAGGTTTAGGGTTTAGGGTTTAGGGTTTAGGGTTTAAGGTTTAGGGTTTAGGGTTTAGGGTTTAGGGTGCTTGGAGTTTGTGTGGGTGGAGGATCCGAGGATTGGGGTATCCGGTACTATAGGGGCCTGAATAATTAGAATAGGGTTTTGGGGCCTTTCTATTATACTTACACTAGGGAACCCCCCAAAATAGTATTGGTAATTATTTAGGCTCCTATAGTATGTGGAGGGCTGGGGTTCCTGTTTACGAACAGCTGAGCATGTCGTAGCTTTCCTGCGGCTACCAGGTGGATGCCCGTGGGCCCAGCACAATCCCTTGGGTGCGAAGGCCGCTGTGAGCACGAAACGGTGAAACAAGATGTATATGCCCTTCTCAGAAGCCTTTGTGACGGAACGCCCAAGAAATCCTGAACGCGATACGCCCCAACTAGAGACCACAACACCTGAAACGGAAAGCCCGCCTTCATCGCCTGGGGCGGTCGCAGCCGTCTCCTGTCAAAAAGCTAGGAAGTATGACTGTGTATGCGTGCACGTGTGTGTGTGTGTGTGTATGTGTTGGTATGCATACAAACATGTATATACATATACCATATATGTATACACAAGTGATACATGATAAAAGACATACAAAGGTAGATACCTAGAGCCGTAGAGACACAAATGCATAGATACTTGCATGCAGGCATACACTAGCTCATCAAAATTATCCGGAGGAGACTACATGCAGACCTACATGTACATACCTGTATGTCTCTCTGTCTCTCTCTCTCTCTCTCTGCATGGCTGTGTCTCATCCGTCTTTTCAGAGACCTCTGCACCTTGACTTCGGATAAAGCCCTGCTACTGAGCCCACACCCCAAGCCACAAACCCACACACACACACACACACACACACACACACAGACAGAAGCACCCAGACCTGCACAGAAACTTCAAGCCAATAGCCCTCAGACAAAGCTCACCCAGACCCAACTGAATCATCCCAAGTCCTAAGTCGCAGGCTCGAACCAAACAACCCGAAACCAAACCTCCCGAAGCTAACGTGGGGGCCTTAATAAGTGGAATAGGGTTTTGGGGGTTCCTTATTAATTAATTATAGTATAATATACCCCAAACCCTAGTCTAATTATCAAGGCCCCTATATTAGAGCATCTCCAATGAAGCAACGCGAAGCAAGACGTCGCCTCGAATAGGAAGCTGCGGGACTGACACATGGCTGGCTCAAAGACCCCTACTGTAGGGGCCTTAATAATTAGAATAGGGTTTTGGGGCCCAGTATACTATAATTATAATAAGGAACCCCCAGAACTTCAGGTTTGTGGTCAGGGTTCAGGGTTTAAGAGGATAGAGGCTGAAGGCTGCAGCATTGCAGTGTGGGCCTGTCTATCGGGAATCCGTGCATGCACCAGTGGTTGCGAGGCTTGCATGGGCTTGGAGGTGCGAGGAAGTTGGGAGGTCAGAATACCAAGCCAACGTCCTGCTGACAGCCGCAGGGCTACGGCATGAGTCCGAAATGTGAAATGGGGCTTTGGGCTAGGGAGGTTTTTGGCTTAGGGTTGTGAATACCTCCCAGATAAGCCTCGAGGCGTAGATGCGGCCCGAAATTTCCTTGATCGAACCAGTTTAACTGGTTCGATAACTGTTATAAGCGCCAAACCACCACGCGCCACAAACTACACAACCTAAATAGCCGTGCACACTGGTTCAAAAACACGGACATGCTTCCATTTGTGCGGCAGCTTAAGTAATAAATCACCTTTACGACATGGTCAGGTGCACTAAAGCCATTATGCGAGTATAGACTTTTGAGGAGCCATCATGCCATGGGCGTTCCAGAACTCTCAGAGTCTCCGAAACATCCGCTAGCACGACAGCCTAATTCAGGGGCCTTTATAATTAGAATAGGGTTTTGGGGCCCCTTATACTATAATTATATAATCAGGAAACACCAAAATAGTATAGGCAATGATTTAGGCCCCTATATTGCATTTTACAAAAACTCTGAACTTGCCTGAGTTGAAATGCCTAGCGCTTACAAGGCTGAGGGTCCGGGCTAAGTTCGTAGGACTTCGGGTTGGGTTCTTGAGTTGGGGATTCTAAACCCTAAACCCTAAAACCCTAAACCCTAAACCCCAAAGCCCTAAACCCTAAACCCTAAAACCCTACACCCTAAACCCTAAACCCCAAAGCCTTCAACCCTAAACCCTAAACCAGAAAGAAACCCATGGGGGCGGCTTAAGGGAGGAGCTCTGAAGTTCGGGAGGCAGCGCAACCTGAAGTGGCGGTGCCGCATTGCTGACTGCGGCGGCAGCGGTAAAGGGCGTTGTGGCCTGCCTTTGTGCATGTAGGGTTTAGGGTTTAGGGGTTTAGGGTTTAGGGTTTAAGGCTTTGGGGTTTAGGGTTTTAGGGTTTAGGGTTTAAGGCTTTGGGGTTTAGGGTTTAGGGGTTTAGGGGTTTAGGGGCCTGCCTTAGGCAAAGAGACACCGCAGAAAGAAGGATGACTACTAGTGTTGGTCTGCTTATTCTTGCTATGATTCGTAGTAGTATTGGCATTGTTGATGCTGTTATTACTCTGAGTTTTAATGTTATGACGACAACTATTATTATTAGTATTACTATGATGATAGCCGTAGCTTCTTTGTGGAAACCTGTAGGCTTTGATCTGTGGACCTTGCAGTTGATGTCATAACATCTTTCTTTCTTTGGCCTGGTCCGTTCATGTTGGCGAAGTTGCAAAGACTGGCTGTAGACCTGGCCTGCAACAACTCCTTCTGACAAAAACTTGAGACCAAGAATGAGCCTGGCGTTGATTTCAAGGGCGTCCCGGCAAGACTTGGAAGAGCCACGAGGACATGAATCCAAAGCCAAAAGCCCCTGATATCGCAGAGCAAACTGCGGCTCCTCCAGGCCAAGATACGGTTGCGCCTGCAGGGCAGCGCTGAGAAGTTTGCAGGTCCTATCACAGCCTGCCTCCTCATCTTCAGCAGGACTCATCTTATACACTGCCTCACACTACTGCTATATCCTTCTAAGTTCTGCGCGGGGGCATGCCTGAGAATCAGCGACGACTGGACAAGGCTTGAAACTGTCGGAGTGATTGTTGTCACCAGCAAGTTGACAAGCAGGAAGTCGCATGTAGCTGAGGGCTTCATGGGAATCCCATTGTCTGTTGTCTGCAACAGCATGGGTTATGGGCTTTTGGCAAAGCTAAAGCCTACCCTTAACCGTGCCTGGCTGTAGTTCTGGTTGTAAGCAGGCATCGGAGGCTGCTGCTGCCGCGCCTGGCCTGGCAAACATGTGAATCCGCGGGTCTTGTGCGTACCACGGAGGCATTGGAGAACCCTAAACCCTAAACCCTAAACCCTAAACCCTAAATGTTACTTCTGGCTGCTCTTCGTGTTACGCATCGTTGCCAACAGTGCGACTCTACTGCTGCCGCTAGCATCAGGGTGCCGCCAGCACGACTGCTGCTACCGGCGACTTCGGGTCCCGGGTTTAGGGTTTAGGGTTTAAGGCTTTGGGGTTTAGGGTTTAGGGTGTAGGGTTTTACGGTTTAGGGTTTAGGGTTTAGGGTTTAGGGTTTAGGGTTCCATGGAGTAAGATCTCGGCCAGGGAAGTGTCAGTAGACCGTCATGTGAGTTCTAATTAAATAGTACTAGTGGAGTCCTGAATTAGATTACGAAGCCTGTGAAAAGACCTCCGGTCCAATTCTCAGAAGCGACAAGACCCCAGTAAAATCGCTAAACCCTGGCTGGTAGTGCCTCGCTGCTGCATGGCGGCCCCAGCTACACCAATGCCGGCGCCAACGGCCAAAACAGGCGCTGCCTGTGCAGAACATTTGGTTTGGCTGTCAATTTGCTTGGATCCTGAATAACTGAATAACCTAACCTTTAAAGGACTTCTATAAGGAAATCAAAATAAAGAACCCGAAACAGGTCAGTTCTTTAGGGTCCAAGTAGAGTTTGATAGGGTTTACGCTCTAAAACGTCGGACTTGCCAGACAAGGTCGAGTTCTCGCGCGGAATCTGGAATTCGCATGACCTGCGAAGTGAAGGGCAAAATTGTTGGACGCTGACATGGCTTGCAACATGCTTCCATGATCCTCCACCCCTGAAGCTGAGTGGACCCGAACTCATAGGGAAATTCCAGGCCAGCTGACAGGACGTGAAAATGTCAGGGACATCAACTACTTGCATTCGCCCATTTTGGCTGCTCACCCATTTCAGGCAGAGAAATCTGTGCCCTCAAATTAATCGGCATGTTATTGCCCACCATGATCTGAGTCATTCACGCCATTGGCCAAAGGCAATGCAGCTGCTTCACAACACTGAACCCGGAAGAATTCTGCGGCTCCCAGATCGTGTGCATTTGGGCCTAGCACTAAACAAAGGAAAAGCCGCTGCTCCCAGATCGCGTACACTTGGCTCGTGCCATTGGGGCTCTCATGAAAACCTCCTGCATCCACGCATCCGCGTTCCAGATACCAGAAATTTCCACATAGTGAGGCGGCTGGGCAATTAAGTGTCTTCAGCGCCCCTTTAGCTTGCTAGGCATACAGTACAGACTCAGCTTGGATGGGGTTTTGGGGCCTGGCTTTAGGGTTTGGGGGTGAGGGTTAAGGGATCCCAACTTGAACGCGAGCTGAACATTAACAGGCTGCTTGAGTTTCAACCGGACGATTCGGAACTGGTTGGGAGTTCACTTTCTGTCGCAACTGGCCTGCGCCAGCGCGCCACAAAGGCCTTCTCAGCATTCAGTGATCCGAATGCTGCTTGACACAATTGCTTTCTAAGATATTCCGTGATAAAGTCACAAACTAGAGCTTTTGTTTACGAAACCGTGAGCAATCGAGACCAACCAATCGTCAATCACCTACCAAGCCAAATGGACAACAACTAGCAAAAAGCTGGGGAGCAAACAACAAAGCCAACATCAGCTGCGCCAGCGACAAAGAACCAACAGCACGACAAAAAGCAACAACGGGTACAATAATCACAGGGAGCGGCCTATGTGATCATCCATACCATATGCATCAACATAGAGGGTCTATGCCATCATCGCCAATATCATGGCCATGATTGTACTTATTCAACTTCAGCAGCAGCATCACCATCAAAGCAACAACTGGCTCATCAACAAAGGGAGCGTTGACACAGCAGGGTCTTGCATCAACCGCATATTCAGCCTCCCCTGCACTACAAGCATCACCGGCACCATCATCAACATCATCATCATCATTCTCGTCACCATGATCGTGATGATGATGGTGATGATGATCATCATCATCATCATCGTCGCCATGGCCATCACCATCATCAACACAATCACCATCACCATCATCACCACTATCGACATCGCCATCATCGCTGTCATCATCATATCGTCATCATGATCATCGTCATCACCTTCAGCATCAGCAGCATCAGCATCAGCATCGTCACAATCTTAATCATGGTTGTCACCATACTGAGCAACGCGCTCCTGTTCTGCAATTCTGCATCAGCACAATCAAGATAGCCGTGTTCATCATCACAACCATCCCATATGGGTAGTTCTCTAAATTTCGGTACCTTATTTTGGGGTCCTTATCATAAGGATACTACTATTTGAGGCACTATACTAGGGTCCCCTATTTTCGGAAACCCCCATATGTTGTCATCATCATCCTTATGGCCGTCGTCATTTCCAAAGGCACCATCACCAACAACGTCGCCAGGACCTCTCCCTGACATGCCTCAACATGGTTCTTCCCATCTGCCATATCACCGCTATGGCACAGCTGGCTACCTGCCTGGAACTAGGTTCCGCAGAGATTTGTTATGCAAAAAGATGATGTGTTGAGAGCCTGTAAGGCTTTCCAAAGCTGCTTATTGGCTCAGTTTCAGGAAGCTTCTTGCTGCCAGAGCTACACATTCCGCAAACCGCGCATAGGAAAAGCCTGAGCTTCCACGCAGACATGCGCAGGCAGCGGCTTTTCGTGCTTCAAACGGGCAGCTCGGCTTGTCGACACTGCCAGCGGTTTCGGCAGACTGTTCTACCTGGGTCCTCGTGATTAACCCTAACCCCCAGGTACCTACTATATAGGGTACTAGAGCCCCAAGGGCCCTATATAGTAGGTACCTGGTTGGTTAGGGCAACAGTGATTTCAAAGGATCTGTGCTTCGACCCATGAGCCCTAAACCGTCTTTTTGGCATCCAGGTCTCTGATGCTAGCCGTGTTACCATACTGTGCGCAAGACTTGAAGCCAAAGCGTATCTTGCATGCTCGCAGAAATCGGGTTTGATAACATCGACACGAAGTACCTGATGGAAGGTTTTCCAGAGAATTCAATGCACAGATTGTCAAAGTACTACAATGAGCCTCACACACCTCCGTTCTAACGTTGACGACAAACGCAATGGCTTGGTGCAGCATGCGTGCACGTGTCAGGAACTGCCACGAGTCGCCATGAGCCATCCCCTAAAACCTGTCACGTCCGGGCCTGTTGCACTGCGGTGTCAAAACGGGGCGAACCCTTTTTGCATAGGCTTGTACATACCTGAAGACCTAAACCCTCTGACTCAAATCTGAACCGTAAACAAAAAAACCGTCAACAAATGCCAGGTCAGCAAGTCAGGCCCAGCCACGAGATGGGTATCCCAAAGAAAAGGCAAAGGTTGAAGTCCTCAGCTTAGGGTTCCTGGTCTAAGGTTACAGGGTTCAGGGTTTAGGGTTTAGGGTTCAGGGTTTAGGGTTTTTTTGGCTTAGGGTTTAGGGTTTAGGGTTTCAGGTCGGAGGTTTCAGGGTTCAGGGTTTAGGGAAAAGCCTGCCGGAGAGAGAATTGAACGCATGTGTCGACATGGTCCTGTTATGAGTGCACTGTGATGATTGAGCTTACCTCCGATTATCTCTACCTACCGGCGCTACAATCAATACGTCACTATTAATACTGCGATTAGAAGTCTACTGTCAAGACGCCCTGCTCCAGTTCTACAGTTCTACATTTACTTCCTCTTGGGCGGGGTGCCCAAGGCCTGGGCAGGATGTCCGAGGGCCTCGGGCGAAAGGCGGGCCCAAGGCGTCGGGGGCAGGGCCTAAGGCCTTGGGCGGGGTGCCCAAGCGTGTTGGGCGGGCGCCTCAATGTTTTGGGCATCCTGTTTAAACACTTGGGTGGGGTGTACAAAGGCCTCGGGCGGGTGCCCTCATCGACGTTGCATGGACCATCAGCCGCCGCCTTACCCTGCCAAGGTCGAAAACCTTTCAGTTTTAGATACTGCAACTCGCCGCTCCAAGAGTGTTCTAAAGTCTTGCCAGAATACGGACGGGCAAACCGACGACCAAAGAACTTTGCTCGATGCGAGATTGCGGGGTTGCGCACGAGACGCACTCTACACCTACCGCGCGAAGTAGCTGCCCCGAAGCAACCCACACCGGGTCGTCGATGACACCGCATCCTTAAACCTCCTTACTAAGTTGGAGGTGGCAGACCCTAAATCTTATGCGTCCTACCCGGGAACAGAGGCCGGGAGTTGTGCATGTGCTGTGATTTGAGGCATCTTGGGAGCTATAGCTCTTGCAGCACAAGAGTCGCAGCTACCGGCTCCGACCCAACAAAAGTCGCAGGAGCCTCAAGCAGCGTGGCCCCTTCCACAATTGGGAGAGAATACATGCATGGAGTCACCACTTGAAGCTCACGGGCTTGGTACATATCAACATCTAGTCTGTTGTTTATCGACGTGGAAGATCTGCGTTCTACTGATACTGCGAAGAAATCAAGCAAGCCACAAGGATAGATCTAATGCGATCAAGCAGCTCACTCACAGTAGGGCTTTTCTAGGCCAGAGTCACAAACAGAATAAAGGCTCTTCATCAAACCCTGGATGCAAACCGGCGACACGTGTTGAAGAATGGGTCGCGGCCCATGAAATTGTTTGCCTTGCAAACGCCGTGGTTGTCGCCTGTGCTGGTGCGGCTTGGCGCATCTAGTGCCTCACTCTCAATTCATATGCTCCGATATTGAAAAAAATC